GAAATCAAGTGACTCCGCTACCTCTGGAACGGATGAGGACTCTGCTGTAGAAACGGGTGCAGGCGCAACGAAAGTTACATATGATTTCAGAGACAGAAAACTGAAGTAAAGGCAGAAGGACTCTGAAAATTGCCTTTTGAAGCAAATAACAAGAAGATGCTCAGAAAGTTCTCTCACAACAACTAACATACTAACATTGAAGCCGAGACAAACAAGAACTCTACAAGTATATTGTTGTACTAACACTTTTATTAATAGCAGATTAACACGGATATGATCACCTCCTCTTGGGTTTTTAGTGTAGTGTGGTTATCTAGCCTTTATCCTTAGATGTAGTCCCCTTCCCTTATATTTTCTTTGTAGTTTTGTAGTCTTATAAAAAATAAAATAAAAAATATCCCTCCGGGGATTTAAAAAAAAGATATATATGACTATGACAGTTTTCATGAGTGGAGCGCTTACAAAATTTACATCTGCGTGCACGGCCAATGTAGATTTTTATCACCGTTATGTCACGGCAGATTTACATATTTCTCATGCAATCTTCCTAAGTCTACAGTTACTCAGACACTCTTCAAACTGCTGTAAATGCTAACAGCATATAATGAAGGCAAAAGGGCAGATATTTATGTGGCATAAGGAGACAGGGCAAAAGAGACAACCTAAAAAGGACTCAAAACCATATGCCCAGGTTTTAGACTCTTTGGCAACAATCTAAAACCACTGAAACCATGAGCTAAAACACATTTATTTGGTTTTACAGCTGATTTCGACCAATTACAAATACATTCCCAATGCCTCTGAAATACGTTAGATTTAATTATTTAATTCAGTCAGTACTGCACTGTAGAGCAACATGTAGGTGCAATCATATTCACACTTCAGGTTCTGCTTGATGAAATCCCATATTCAAGGATATGCATTAACCAATCCAAGTGCTTCAGCTGGTTTCTAATGCACAAGCAGGACAACTTTTACCAACAAAAAGCTCTACTCTACCGTGACCCATGGGGGCTTTTGGGAAGACTGACCAGTTGTAAACTGGTAACTGGCTGAGTAGACCCATTTCAGCTTCTGACTCAATAATTGCTTCTATCATTATGTTCATCTATAGCCACATGTGGTTAGCACATGAGGAACAAAGCATCTGTACAACGGGGCTACACTGAGCTGCAATGTAGCTTTTTGTAAAAGGAGGATTAAATCAGCTAATCCAAAAAATGTAATTAGTAATTTGCATGTGGAAACACTGCAGAAAAAAAGGAACTATAGAATTCTTGGCTTGCTGAGATCTCATAACACCACCTCAAGATATTTTGATCACTGTTTTGAGTTGCCAAGACAACTCCCCCCAACACACACACAACAATGAAGCCTCTGCACTGTTATCTATAGAGGTAAAATAGCTGCTGCTTACAGACCTTTCTGCCATGTGCTGGGTGCCAGGTAGTCCCCCAAAGTAAGGCAGAGGGAACTAAAATCTACAGCTGATTTCTCAAAACATAATATAAACAACTTTGGGTACTAGTTCCTGGCGCCCTTTCTGATAGGGGCCAATCCCCTGATTGTTTAGTTCCATTCCAGGTATGGATGGCCTACTTCTCTAAGATATTTTATGATCCATCAGCTGACATCTTAAATCAGCAAAACCTTATCTTTCATGATCTCCCGGAATGGCCCTGTGACTCCAAATGAAATCAAAGACTTAATTAGCCAATTAAAAATCAGAGAAGGCTCCGGGCCCTAATGGACTCCCGATCTTCAAAAAAAGGGGACTCAAAACCCTACAGAATTATCACCTAATAAGTCTCTTTTGATCAAGAGTAAACACTATCTGAGACATCTGCTGGATAAATTATCCTCTTGACTGAACAATCAAGAAGTCTTAGGTCTTGAGCAGATTGGGTTCTGTCCTGACAGATCTACTTTTGATCACTGTGATACCCTTGCCCATATCATTGAGAAATATAGTGGTGCTGGTGTGAAAAAGCTGTATTGTGCCTTTCTCGATCTGAAGAGGTCTTTTGACTTAACCCCTAGGAATCTATTGTGGAATAAACTGAACTATGTCCTGATGGATAAAAGACTATTCTTTCTAATCCATAAATTATAGTTCTCAACCAGCTGCCAAGTGTGTTATAGTAGGCATGGAGACTTAACCAGTGAGATTCCCACCAACTGGGGTGTGTGTCAAACAGGGGTGTATCTTGGCCCCCTATTTGTTTAATTTATTTATGGATGACTTGGTGCCTGCCTTAAAGACAGTGGATGGCCCTTTTCCTAAATTAGGCTCTCATCATATCCCTTGCTTGTTATATGGCGCTGATGCTGTGGTTTTATCTCGTACCCCACTGGGCCTCTAGCACCTATAACTCCAACTTAAAAATTATGGGGGTTTTCAAAACCTGGAGATGTCTCTGTTGGTATACTGAACAAGTAAAAACCCATAGATATTTGGGTGTTAATTTTCAATACAACAACAGATGGATATATCATTGAAATTATGCACTCAACTTCGCTAAATGCAGCATGCTGACAGTGGTACTTTTTAATGCTCATGGAAGCCAATATGTCCCTGCTGTCATCCGTATATTTAACACAAAACCAACAGCTCCATTACTTTATGGATCCCAATTTGGATTAATGCATTCAATCAGCTTGTTGAGAAGATCCAAGCTCACTTCTTATGTTGTATTCTGGGTGCCCCAAATTCCACAGGATACACAACCATAGGCTTCTTAGAAACTAGGGCCTGGTTCCAGACTCTGAAGTTCTGGTTGCACATTCACTTTCTAGCAGAACATCCTAGTTATGTGCATTTTCTGCTGTCCAACTCTTGTTTCAAGTAATTAGTCACACCTAATTTTATGGAAAATTAGGTAGATTAGTGTCCCACTCAATTCTATTTGCATGCTCAGGAAACAACAAGCCTTCAAATTAATGTCCCAGAGACTAATTGATATTGACAGACCTTGTATGCACTAACAAATAGGACCCGCTACCCTTTGGCACTAGGTATACTGCCTGATTATAGGGCCTCACCTGCCTATTTTTTGCATCTTAGATCCCCACAAACTCGTGGAGCTGTTATGCTTGCAAGGTATGATATCTTGCTAACTGCAGTCTTTTGTTGCAGATTTTTGCAGACACCTTACCATGAAATACTCTGCCCATGTCAAGCTAGCATGTCTGAAACCCTATCCTATGTTCTTCTCTATTGTAATCTCTATCTTGAGCAAAGAAATTATTTCATCAGTACCCTCATACGTAAATTCACAGGTCACACTGAAAAGTGGCTGGCTCCTTACCTCCTATCTGATCATAACCCTTATAGTTCTAGTCCAGTTGCTAGGTTTCTCTCCAGTGTTCCCTCTAAGCTGAGTTAGTGTGAGCTAGCTCACAGTGTTTTAGCCTCTAGCTCACACATTTTTGTCTTTGCTCAGGAAGGATGGCTCCAGAGCAAACTAATTTATGCAGCAGCCAAATCACTTGCTCACAACTTAAATGCCAGTAACTCACAAAGTAGAATTTTTGCTCACAAGACTCCATAGCTTAGAGGGGGCACTCCACCAGTCGTATTTTTCAGTTACATAATTCTCGTTCTTTGTTCTTTTTTTCTGCCTCATTTTACCTTTTACATGTTTGTGATTAATGCCTAAAAAGGTTTTTTGAATTCAAATTTAACATGACACGGAGGCCTTGCCAATGTGAATGGTTGCTTCAGCAACCCAGAATGCTATGGTAGTTGTAACCACAACATGGAGGAGAAGCTGGGGAGGGGAGCATAGGACAGAGCTGGGGGGGAAGAACTAGCAGAGAGGAAGTGGGAACAGGTAATTCCCTTTCCTCTTTGAGCCCTTGCAGTTCTACTTCTTCAATGAATTTATTAGCTAATGTATTTGAATTTATTAACTAATTCATTTGAATGTATTAGCCAAATCTATGAATTTATTAGCTAATTTTCTACAGACATATTTAGAGTGACTTCCAATCAACAGCTAAAATCATGGATGCAAGTACACCAGGAGAAAAGAGTAAGGGTTCTTAACCCATTGCACACCTAGAAATGAAAACTGTCAGAGGAAAGGACAGGTGGGGATATGTGCAACATACAAGAACAATCATCAGACAGTCAGAACTGGGTGTTGCTCCCAGTCTGGTATGCATTTGAAAACTTAGCTTTGTTGCCATGTGAGGTATGGGATAGGCCTTAGGTTTTCAAATACTGTGCTCACAAAGGAATAGCTTACATAAGCCTGGATAGATCAGACTCAATACCATCCATGAGGATAAAAAAAAGAAATGTTTTTGGTAATTGTTACATCAGAGTGATTATTTTATTTCTGCACCCCAGACTTAAGACTTGTTGTGCGGGCAAATAAGTACTGATAAAAAGCACGGAGAGGACTGGATAAAGGGAGCAGGGCTAAGCAGGGCTACTCTAAGTTCCATGTCATTCGACAGAACTTACTCCTGGGGAAGTGTCTTTACGACTGCAGCCAAAATGTCACAAACCACAATTTTAGACTATGCTCCCTGGGATGCTACAATAGGTAAACTGGAAAGGAAAATGTTTTATAATCAAGGTATTTGTGGATCAGATACTTGTTTAAAAAATGCAAAATAACTATTGCAGGTCAGCTTTCATTAAAAATATACCTAGTTCTTCTTCCATTGTGGGCCCTTTATTTTGAGAATTGGAAACTCCAAGGACTCTGTTGAATAGTATAGCGAATGCACTTCCCCAGATACCTGAATAAAATAAAATATTCATTAATTTAAAGTTTATTATTAATTATTAATTAAAACACACGCAATATTGCATTTGGTGATATTTTATCATTGATTTCAATTTCACTAAGGATATTTCAGCCTCACTAAAGACCTCCCCAAGACAACACATTACCATTATTCTGGGCCAAAAGGACCTACATTTGTTCATCAATATCAAATTCAGTCTTGGAATTATATTTGCTAAGTACAAATGAGACTTTCTGGCAGCTTGAACATCAAGGGATAAGACTTTCATCCATAATTTCAGCAGGCTCTTTGCAAAGCAAGGCAGGTCCATACATATACTAATAGTCAACTGAAGTTAGAAGGATGTAACTCTGTTTAGGACTGAACTGTAAATTGTATTGAGAGACAGATCATTTCATTAGAAAATTTATAAAGATCTACAGCTGGAGCTGCGGTGGCTCAAGTGGTTAAGATGCTGAACTGCAGGCTGTGGAAAGTCAGTAGTTCAGCAGTTCGAGACCCGGGTGCCGCATGATGGAGTGAGCTCCCATCTCTAGTTCCAGCTCCTGCCAACCTAGCAGTTCGAAAGCAAGAAATTGCAAGTAGATAAATAGGCACCACTTCGGTGGGAAGGTAACAGCGTTCCGTGCACCTTGGTGTTTAGTCATGCCGGCCACATGACCACGGAAATGTCTTTGGACAGCGCTGGCTCTTCGGCTTTGAAACGGAGATGAGCACCGCAACCCTAGAGTCAGATTCGACTGGCTTTCGAGCAAGGGAACCTTTACCTTTACAGCTGATTTGAAAGTTGAATTTTTCATGGATATCGGCAAATTTTTCTTGACTGCTTTAACTTGCAGGCATATATATCTATTCGATTTCATTAGGTGGGCCACAGCTATCACAAAGTGAGTTTCTCACCACTGCAGGCATTAGCCACTGATAAAACGAACAAAAAAGGGAAGAGGGGATTTCAACCCAGAGCAGACTAGGTAACTGTACCCACTCTCCCTTTTTGTTGTTGTTAATTTATACCAGCCACTGATGTCAACTGGGCATAAGCAAGCAATCTATCCATTACTCCAGTTCATACAGATTATGTATTAGGACAGTGGGAAATTCACTTTGGTGAACTAGTATCTAGACCAGCTCTCAGTATCGACCAATAAGAGGCACAGTGTCTGTGTGGTTATGATAACTGACTACATTCCTAAAGAATCTGAGTTCAAGTTTTACACTGGAGAATACTCTCCTGCTGATCTGACATTAAATTGAGACTTGACCCATTGGTGTAGAAAAGTGAAGGCCAGTCACACACAGTGCTAGCCATGGCTACTTGGTACAAGCCTCAAGAACTCTCATACCAACACAGCAGTCAAAACCATTCTCTCAGCCATGTACTATACCAGACAGGATAATTCAAACAGGTTGTGACACTCAGTTTAAAAAATTACTGGCACATTCAGATCTCAGCTATGAAATCGCTTCACAAGTCAGCATCTTAAGCTTAACACACACACATATATCACAATGTGGGGATAATACTGGCCTATTTGTTATGAGATACTTGGGAGAACTTAGAACAAGTGCTATACCAGCAGATTATGTTTCCTTTAAAAACAGTACCTTAAATACTGAACAGCAAGTGTGGGAAGGTTTAAAGGTTGCTTATTGTTCAGGGTTGGGGGGGGGGGCTGTTTTGTTTTTTGACAGTCAATTGCTTACCCATTAGGAAATGCAAGGGATTTTCTGTGTATCTTTTCACTTCCGTTCCCATAAAAAATTTGCTGCCAAACAAATTGGGACGCATGAAGGTGCCGTATTTAGCCATCCCAATTTCATAGGGACTGAATTCCACCCAATCTGCACAGAAGAAAGAAAGAACACTACTTAGAACACAACCCCCCCAAAAAAAACCAAACAACACCCCATGCACAGAGGATTCTGAAAGGCTCGACAAAAATCTGACTCTTTCTCATCCACCATCTATGTACCTATACAGGTGTGCACATAGGCAACATTAGGAGCCATCAGGGGTAACAGGAAACCTTTGAATACCACTTATATATTCATACATTCTCTCTCTCCTTTTGATATTAGTTGCACAAGAATTCTTCCCCAAGCAGGGCTATAAATAGCATTGGAGGTATGCATGCAATTGCCCGTTCTTCCACTGGTCCTCTCTTGTTGCCTACATTTACATGTAAACAGGGCAAGTGGGAAAACAGAGCTCTGCTGAGATTCTCCATGCACTGGCACTGCTCCTGTGGTGGACTCCATCGCTTCCATTATGTGAAAACATTCAGAGATGACAGAGCAAAACACTTCCAGAAGCAGTTACATAATAAAAGTCCATAGTGAATCATAAAAGAATTAACCTTTTGGCAATCATATACTTGTAGAAGAAGCAACAGGAAAAAGCTCTGTACTGAGTGACATTTTATTTTGTTTTATTTATCTAAATCATTTCTATACTGTCTTTCCACCCAAATAGGGCTACCAAAGCAGCAAAACATCAAGCATCAAAACATTTAAAATAAAGTATATATACAATAATAAAAACATACATACATAAGACCAAAAACCCAGGAGGAGGCTCATAATAGTTATGAGTATGGTACTCCCATTATGTAAGTTACAGTTAAACAAAACCAGCTTTGTAGCCAACTTTTTTTCTTTTCTGCCTGGACTAATTTCCTTTTAGGGCTAGTTGAAAAATTATGTCTGTATGTGAAATCCACCAGTGGAAAAAAATCCACTTATTGGCAACCAGAAACATCTGGAATAGACTCCAAGCAAAATCATGTCTATCCAGATGGAACACAGTTTACAAACGCATTGGCTTGATTTGTGAGAGTAGCTGCTATGCCAAAACATTCTTTCAGCAGTATTTGTATGGAGCCATAATATTTGAACTGGCTCAGAATCAGTTAAAGCCTCCAGAAAGAAACATGTTGGAAAGCAAGTGGCAATACAGTAACACTTCCATGTTAGTTCCTGTGGATTAAAAATGGGTAAAAACGGTATTCAAAGAAACAGCCCCCTCTAAGGGGACCATGACTTGGATCCACCAGAGCACTTCTGAAGACAGAAGGAGTTCCACCAACAAACCACAGCTTTCTCACCTGCCTGCTTCCACTGCAGCCTCCAACCAGTGTTCCCTCTAAGCTGAGTTAGTGTGAGCCAGCTCACCGTTTTTTTAGCCTCTGGCTCACACATTTCTGTCTTAGCTCAGGAAGGATGGCTCCAAAGCAAACTAATTTATGCAGTAGCCAAATCACTCACTCGCAACTTTAATGCCAGTAGCTCACAAAGTAGAATTTTTGCTCACAAGACTCCACAGCTTAGGGAGAGTATTGCCTCCAACATGTGGGGTGTGTGAGAAAATCACATTTTGCAGTCAGAGACCCTTTCATCTGCAGAAATACTCTGCTGGATCCAAGTCAATGTGTGCTCTACTCCCTGGTAGAAGTACTGAGAAACAGTGGTGCTAATGATTTGTTTTCTCCCTGTAAGGGTTTTGGTAGAAGCCATAAAGCTAGATCCCAAACCAAGGGCTGCTGTATTATCTGTTTGTTGCCCAAGTTACATGTAGGTAGGCTCTAAACAACTTTTAAAAAAAAGATCACTTAGGAAGGTTCCCTAGATAGCAGAGAAGCCATCGAAACATAAACTGGAACAGAGAATATAGCGTCTCAGTCACAAATACATTCACATGTAAAAGGAACATTTCAGATAGTTATTCAGCATAATGGTTTGTCTGAAAACAGTTCCTGCTAACTTAGGAACACACAGGTATCTCAAAATGACAATTGTAGTTGGTACCAAAAAGAAGAAACTTGAGAGACTGGAACGTAGGAATTTCCCCTTCCAATGTGAAAACCTACCAAATTAGGCCCAATGCACTTATGCCACTTAACCACGCAAGGCATTCGTCTTGGCTTGTTGCCTTAACATTGGTTTTGATCCCAAATATATAGTGAAATCATAGTATAGCTTGTTGAGCTAAGGCCTGTCCCTACAGGAAGCTTATATAGGAAAACGGCAATGAGACCCTTCAACCAGAAAAGCTAGAAATGTGGGGACACCGCCTTAATGTTTTTTCCCCAGCGCATACGTAATGCTTACTCATGGTTAACACAAACTGCGATGTGCAAATCCATTGTTTCACATCCCTGTTTGTTCTTGAATCCTTTACCATGGCTTAGGTCAAAGGTAGCAACCCTCAACATGTGTGCTGAAAATTAGCACACCAGACCATTTTGTTTGGCATGCAGGGCCTTTTCCTCACTCAAACGACTGTGGTGGGACCTAAAGTCCTGGAAGTGTCATGGTGGGGAGAAGTCAGCTTGCTCCCAGCGTGTCTGGTCCAGTTCAATTCTCATTTCTCTCTTGCCCCCTTTTGCATGATGAAATGCCATTATCTTCATAGATTATATGTTGTGTTTCGTTTTCCCCGTACTTGGGCCAAAAAGGTTCCCTACCATCCACTTAGGTACTGAGGCCATTGTTAAGAAAAACAAACCATGCTAAGGTATTTGCACAGGGCCAGTGCTACAGCTGTTCTCCTCCCTTCCCTTCTTTTATACCTTCAGCCAGGTTCTTGCTTGAAAAAGCCAGCTGGTTCCTGGTATTTTAACTACTTATCCCCACCCTCTTGCATTTCCCTTTTCAGTCTTTTTGCACTGTTCCAAAGGTGAGCACTGTTTTTATGGGAAACCTTCCAGCAAACTGTTTATGGCGGAACAAGTCACCCACACAGAGTGATTTTTTAAAGCAAATCTACAGGTAAGAAAGGGCCGCATGGATTCTAGCTCAACCACCTGTAAACAAGTCTTGACAAAGAGCTCAGTTTTACATCCCTTTGCTACAGCAGGTGCCGCTGGATAGTTCTAGACAACAATTCATGCATTTTATTTTGAACACTGTGACTCAGTGCGTGCTTTCCAGAAATCAATCATCTTAATTATGTTTGGTTCATGATAATTACTTACAGTTCTAGGCATGACCGACACCCACTTGGATAATAAATACTATGGATAATGTGAACTTAAGGAGCTCGGCTGTGAAAATGGTTAGCCACCGGCCTGAAATCTCTCATCCTAACTTTTCAAAGAACTGTCACTTGAGCTGGCTGACGTAACTAACAAGGAGGAACATAACCAGATTTGACCTAAAAATCCTCAGATTATACCATGAGACCTGTTCCTTTTCAAGACAGGATGTTTAATCTAATAGGGAGAGAAAGGAACATGGACCTTGAATGTACTATATGGGACATGCAGGAAGGAGAACGATAGAAGGGGTGGAAACTTCAAAATGGCCAATATCTATACACAAACTTATCTCTGCTATAATTTGGATGGAGAAAACCAAAGAAGCAAAGAGACAGACTGGTGATAAATAACAATGTTAAAGTAATTAAAAAAAGGAGTCATTTCCTAGGATTCTATCACAATCCATAGTCATAGTAAGAAATGAAACAAAGAAAGGGATATTTATTTATTTATTTCATTTATACCCCAACTCTTTTCCCCAGTGGGGACATGAAGATGATTCCCACTGAATACTGCAGCCTTGGTCACTGGTTAAAGAGAAACAAGTCTAACGCCCACTGGAGACTCAGGGTCACCAGAAGCAAGGAAAGAACTTGGATCCTGCCAAAAACCGCTCCCAGCTGAAAGATTTCCATGACGGAGTGCAAATTTTCCACCTCCCCACTCTAGATGCAGCCCCAAAGGCCACTTACAATGGTGTTTCTGGGGGACAGGGGAACCAAAGGAATGGCATGTGGGGGAATCAAAGGTCTGCCACAGGAGGGCAAAATCAGTGAGGATCCCCTACACAGAAATGAATAGCAGGATCTGAGCTAATGATTCCCCCAAGAACCCTCCTCCACTTCCTCCATCATAACTGAATGGCTGACCTTTGTTTTAAAGGGACAGATTATATGCTGCGTTTGGGAACAGCCGTGCAATAGAACCAAAATTGCCCATCACCCCTGCAAGTGACTGGTCCAGCTTTCATTGATGGGAACTCCACTGTGCATGTACACCTGTGCAGTGTGTACCTTCTCAGTGGTACCTGAAATACACAGCTCCCCCACCACCAAATATTCCAACAAATACAAGGGAGAGCACTTCACTATGACATACAGTCAGACACTCATTACACCAGAGAACCATCGTTGTCCTCATTGGTAATCTTAGGGTAATTGCTGTGGATGAGCAGATTTTCCCCATTCTGTTATTTTACCATTCCAGGGGGTTCACTCTGCCTCACCTACCACTCTACCTGCCATCCAGTTTAACTCGGAAAATTAATGTCACAACTGGTGCATGTGAAGTTTTCCGCTCTTTTCACTTCAAGACTCCCCTGTAAGTTACGGATGCATACCAACACATATGTCCATCAATTAGATGAGAACAGAAAGGATTTCTAATGGAACGTGCCAGTTGTATTAAGATTTATTTATTTTTTTGCACAGCTGTAATCAAGATACACAGATGCTGGTGCACACTGGCAATCTCTAAGAAAAAATGCAGACTGAAACCTGTGGGCTGTGGGCTGAACCAATCTGAGGGAAAACCCCTCCCTGCAGGTCATATGATCAGCCATAGCATGGGCCACTCTGTTTTGGTAGCAACCCCACTGCTATGGAATGCCCTTCTGGAGGAGGTGTGGAAGGCTCCTACATGGTCTGTTGTCTGAGGGAGTTGTGAAGCTGTTCTTTTCAGGAAGGCATTGGTGGCTAATTATAAGGAGGGATGCCCTGGAGAGCAAGTTGGGGTTTGTTTGTTTCCAATTTTAGTTTTGCCGCCTGAAGGTCAGATTTTTGCAAATTGCCATGGGTGAAAGAAAACTGGCAAATACATATTTAAATAAGTGTGTGTGCATGTGTGTGCATGCAATTTAACTATGTATTTGCCAATTTTCTGTCACTCATGGCAATCTGCACACACATATATATTTATATATACAGAGAGAGAGAGAGAGAGAGAGAGAGAGAGAAAATAGATACATGAGAAGCAGTTCTTACAGGTCCCTAGTAATTTCATAAATCTGCATAAACATGTTCTTGCAATTCAGTTCCACCAGTCAACATAAAGTATGGGGGTGCTAGAGTACACAAATACAGATACATGAACATCATTTGGTCAAATAATACAATAATCAGATCATCCATCCACAGCAGTTAGGCTAATCCAAGGTATGGCCACATGTACAGAAGTCAAAAATATTTGCAACACAGCTTATTCAGGGCCATACTAGATGTGACAGCATCCAGAGGTTTGATACATGGACTGCACCACCATTTCAAAGCAATTTCCAAATGCCACGAGGGCTTTGGCACGAAGGAGGATGAGGACGACGACAACGACATTGGATTTATACCTCGCCCTTCACTTGGAGTCTTAGAGAGGCTTACAAACTCCTTTCCCTTTCCGTCCCCAGAATAGACACCCTGTGAGATAGGTGGGGCTGAGAGAGCTCTTTCCAAAACTCCTTGAGAGAACAGCTCTGATAGAACTATGGCTTGCCCGAGGTCATCCAGCAGCTGCAAGTTGAGAAGTGGGGAATCAAACCCGGTTCTCCCAGATTAGAGTCCATGCACTTAACCACTAACACAGCTTAGAGGGAACACTGGTGCCAAAGCAGCTGCGGGGAAGGGGGCAGTGGGGCCATTTTGGCACTTGAAAAGACATGGGGGAGGGGGACAAGAGTGCCTCAGGCAACCACGCGTGGCATTTTCAAATCACTTTTAAATTCCTGCAACCATGGGTCAGATCCATTGGTTTTGTCCTGTTTACTTTGATCCTCAGATACTTCCATGAAGGTATGGGTATTAACACACTGTTTTAGCATAACACAGACTAGCATAAAATACCTAAAATAATTTAAGAAGAACACCTACCAGCAAACATGAGTTCCGATACATCAGGTTTAACATGGAGGCATGTAAAGAGTGGCAGAGCAGACTGTGCCTTATTTACTTTCTCGTTCATATTGCTCAAAGTGGTGCCCATCCTCTGAAGGAAAGAATGAGCAGAAGAAACATCAAAACTGGAGTTGAAGATCCAGCTAGTACTCAGAAAGTTTTGTGAATTCATTCAATACAGCAAAAGGCAACAGAATTACGTACCGAACATTTCCAACATGATCATCCTTAGTGGTACCTTTAAGGCCAATAAAGTTTAATTCTGGGTATAATTCTGCAAGCACACCAAAGCTTATCCCCAGAATTAAAATTTGTTGGTCTTAAAAGGTGCCACTGGACTCAAACTTTGTTCTATTGCTTCAGACCAACACAGCTACCCACCTGAATGGCTAAACTAAGCTGTGTGATCTTTCTCACTCTCTCTAAGCCTGAAGTACCTGGAATACACAAGCACACTAACACAGACATGATCAAACTGTGAGGTCTACTGTGTTGACAATAATAAAGGATCTAAGGAATTATCCTGGTCAGGTAACTGAACAGGTTTCAGGATAGACTTGAAAAGCATTCTGTAGTGCTAAACAAATGGTTTGGCAAGGAAGAAAAAGAAGAGAGGCTAGAACAGCACAACCAGCTAGGCATAGGGCAATTGGATCAGAATCAAAAATAACCTGGCAACCAAGTTACAGGCACAACATCCAGGACCAGATTTTAACCTGAATCATAATATGTATGCAGGGTTTCTCGAGACCATGCTAAAAGCCAAGGAGAAGGAATTTTTACAACCGAAGTACACTGGTCTAGATGGATGCATCCCTCCAAAAAGAATCTAATAAAAGTAGTGAATTACAATGATATGTATCCTAGGAGACCTGCAAGTAGAACAGAGCTAATGGAGCAGGAATTTCCCACTTCCCTTTCTAGTGCGGCTCAGTGAGTCCTCCACCCCCAAATGTTGTTCCTGTGGGCCCCTGAATAGCGTATCGGGCAAAGTGAAGGCCTGCAGCAGGCATGGGGAAATCAGCAAAAACTGCCCTCCCTTTCCTCTGATGATGGAAGTGCCTTTCATCTATGGAAACAGACAGCAGGATATAAACAAGTCACGTTCTTGTATGAAAGTCTATTACAGCAGCACATGCTGAAATATAAAAACTAGATAGACTTGAATCTTGGATGTCAGTTTATATTACATTATGTAGATTGGCTTCAAATGATATTAAGTTCTGTAAATTAAGTAAGATTTTAAGTTATGTAAATTAATTAGATACTAAGTTATGTAAATTGGTCTCAAATGATATTAAATGATGTAAATTTAGTTAAGCATATATTAAGTTATGCAAACTGGCCGAAAGGTAAATTGGCCTGAACTAAAATATACCTGCTTAAATCTCGCATAACTAGTTTGTGGGTAACTATGATCAAAAAGTAATTGATATATGCAGCATTGTGGTTGACCTACTCATTCCAGTTGATATTCATTTAAGAGAAATAAGGAAACAGAATGACAAAACCAGACCAGAAATGACAAATTCAGAACCTTGAATTCACAGATGTAAAACAAAGAGGGTCTTTGTTCCCATCACCAAAATTGACATTGCTTTGATAGGTATTCAAACAAAAATTACATTTTGGATGAGTGTTTCTCCTATCAGCATTCCAAAGATATCTGTAAATGTAACAGGCTGGCCAGAACTCTTCTTTTTCCATAATGCTTCAATGTACCGCTTGACTTTCTGAGGAGTAAGTAGCTTTAACGGGTTGTGACTGACACTATTCATCAATTCTTGATTTATCTCCTTTGGTCCTTTCACTGGGAAATCCGGGTGAGAATATAACGCTGACATGTACCTATAAAAACAACAATAACATAGTAATAAAAGTCACACAGGGGACATTAAAGGTTTCCAAAATGACAAAAAATAATGTATCAAAGCTTCATGTTGGAGTCTGCTTAGTCTTTCCGATAGGCATGGGTGGGTTGACTATTAAAATCATGGTGAAAAGTCCTGGTGGGTCAGCGGCTTCGGGGCACCACACACCCATGAAAGGGGCAGCCCTTGCCCTGGAAAGGACAGGCATGATCCACCACTGTGAGCCCAAAGCCCCACTCAGTCCACACAAAGGATGTACTCAGCCCCATCCCATGCGGTACAAGGCTGGCTGGGCAGTGTCTTTCCTCCTCCCTTCCTCCTTCAGTGGAACATGACTCTTTTCCAGGGCTGTTTTTCCCTCCCAGTCCACCCCTGCCAACAGAAAATAAAAATCACTGTAGGCAATGAAGTCCTTATTTAGCAAAAGGTCCTGAGAATCAAGGATGCTCAGATAGGACCATTGTAAAGCGACATATGAGGTATTGTCTGAATGTTATTTTCCAGTCTACCAAGAGGAGATTTCAAAAGAGAGAGACCTACCATGTAGATCCAGACAAGCCAGCAATATACGTTGCACAGTCTAAAATCCCGGATTCATATAGTGCTTTCATCACACCAGCAAATCCCACCATGGCACGGAATCCACCACCAGACCCCAATACTGCAATCACTGGAACCTGGACAAAATATATAGTAAGGTTACATTTTAAAGAACTCACTAGAAGGACAAACTACAGGTCACAGTGCTCCCCCCCCCACACACACACACAAAACAAAGCTGCCAGGTGGGAAAGGGGTCTTTGAATGCAGAAGTGGCAGTGAAGGAGGGGCGCTTAACCCTTTGCAAGCCTATAACTTCCCCACTCCAGTTCAAACACTGACAAGACTGCACCTCACCCCCTCTTCCCTCACACACAGGCACGGTCATATTAAAAAACCAAAACCCTACAAGAGGAAAGGTACTGGGGGTGGGATTTCTACTAAAGAATCAACCAATGAGTTACATGTGTCTCCTTTTTTGCCCCAATTTGCTATACCAAATGTCCTCCTCCTGAAGTAGCTTTTCCTTGTTTTTAAGGGAATCAGGCAACTCACAGTTATTTGCACACTATGTGTATTTAGTTCCTTCCTCTACATTTACCTACCAATATTCAGAGATGTAGGTCTTTTCTAATGGTACTAACAAAGTTACACCCTTCCAGATCCACAGGAGTCAATGGGCTTGGAAGCATGCGACTGTGCTTACGCTCACACGATTAGGCATTTGCTGAAAGCACCATTGCAGGCTAGGCTGCCATCCAATACAGCGTGCATGAATGGTGCATAATATATCAATTCACAAAAAATACTGAACTCCTACTGACCTAAATTGTTTCTCGCTGACCCAGAAACAAACACAATCCCTTACAAACAACCTGGAAACAATGTAGGTTTACTGGAAAACGACACATTTCAGAAAAACGACAACACCTTGGGAACATTTTGTATATATGTCTCATCCTTTACCTCTCCACCCACCATTCTTCCCCAAGCCTTGCTGGTTTGAAGCCTGCACCATTCGGATGCTGGAATGGTTTCAGTGAATATCCTTCAGTTATTTCCTCCCCCCAAAAAAGAAAATGAAGAAACTCAAAACTGTGACAGACTATGAAGTCCGTGCAAACCAAGAAAACAGACAAAAGGCCATTTCTAAGGCTTCAGAATTAAAAAAAAATCCAGTTAAAAGGGGAACAGTTGAACAGTTATCAAATGAGACATCATAAGAGTCTTACGCTCATCATCTCTGTGAATATAAAAACTTCCAGGGCTGCACACTCAAAAACACAGGTCCACTTTTAGACAGTGCTCCATTCATTAGCGTCTTCTATCACTCTTCGTATCATAGCTACAACCTACAATCTGATCCTCTCCATGCATTTACTGAGGAGTTAAACTTCAACTTTGTCTCAACAAGCAGCCAATTACATTGGAAGCCTGGGTTGGTTTCATATTGCTGGTGATACTTCATATTCAATTCAATTTATTACGAGTCTATATGACCGAAGTCTTGACCAAAAGAGAATGCAAAAGGGGTAAAATAGGTACATAAAATTGACATAAAATATGACAAGTACATAGTCACAATCAGTAAACATATAAAACCCAGGCATAGCCCAGAGAATAAAAAAGACCTAACTACACTTGGGGCGGAGCCAACTAACTAAGATTAAAAATTGGTGTAGGTGTATGCAAAGATGATAAAGCTTTCAGTGTTTCTTGAGAGCGGCAACCATAGCCAGGAACCGCGCCACGTTAGCTGTTATCAGTCCATCGGCATTTGAATCAGATAACAATACTGAAAGCACCCAAGGTTGCAAGGGAAGATTCATCTTCGTAAGAATAGGAATGATATATATCCCTCTATCTTGAGTCCAATGGGGACAGCGAAACATCAGATGGTCTAAAGTTTCAATTTTGCCAGAGTTGCACAGACAGAGGCGATCTGAGTAAGGTAAGCCTCCAAATATGCCCAGCGTTACCATTGTTGGAAATGCATTTAAGCAGGCCAGCATAAAGGCGCGGCGGTGGGATGGAATTGGTAGCGATGAATGAAAATCCAGAAATCTCTCTGGAGGGAGCAACCCCAGAGCCAAAGGAGAACAGGTGTGTCTGGCCCTGGCCACGGTGCTAGCCCAATCCAACTGTTTGAGTTTCTTCAAGGTTTCCTCGAGCTGGGAGGGCAACAGCTCTTCAGTAGGTGAGGAAATCGGAACTCCCAATGTCTTGAGTTTACCCATAAGAAGGGACAACCAAGGGTTGGATGTCGTGTCCTTTAGGATGAGACGAAGAAAACCGGCCTGGGGGTGATGACTTGGGTCAGATAGCTTAAATCTCAACTTGAATGCCCTTTTCCAAGCACGTGCTTCGAGCGAAGATTGAACCATTTCCATACGAAGGACAGTCCCAGCAACACACTGGGGAGTTCCAGTAATTCTCCTAAGGAAGGCGTTTAACTGGGAATCCAATTTCTCGTCCACGCCAGCAATCCAGATTTCTGTGCTGTATAAAATTTGGGAGACCACCTTCGCATTATACACCTCGATGGCAGGGGGAATCCGCTTAGCCCCCTTTATACGGAAGAATCTTTCAACCAGTGCCGTGGCAAGTCTAGATGACTTTTTGACGTACGTCAGATGAGCGGACCAGGATAGATTATAACTAAAGACAATACCAAGATATCGGAAAGAGGAAACCCATTCTAGTTGACCATCCCCAACTTTAAAATGTAGAGGACCTCTTCTTCTCGTAGCAGAGAAGCGAAGAACCTTGGACTTTGCATAATTCACGATAAGCTCTTCTTGTTTGCAAGATACTTCATATAATGGACTGTTCCCCGATGGGGAAAAAATCCTGCATACAGAAAGCCATATTCTAGGAAGAAAGAGTCTAGCATAGTCCCCTCTCCTAGCAAGCTAGCTTTCTGTGTGAGGGCTTTTTTTTTTGTTTAGTATTATTTTTATATATATATACCGCCCTCCCCAAATGGGCTCAGGGCGGTGTACAACAATTAAAATAATACAATTAAAACAACGTTAAAATAACAGTTTGCACAGAATAATGTCATTTTAAATAACATGTAAAAGTGGAGAAATCAGATGTTAGATCAAATCCAGTGTCTAATCAGATGTCCAGTCAGATCCAGGCCACTGGTGGGTAATTGACCAAAAGCTGTGGATGGGGGGCACGTCCACTGTCTTATCCAAATTCCCCACGGAAGAGTTCCGTCTTGCAGACCCTGCGGAACTCCAATAAGTCCTGCAGGGCCCTGATCTCGTAGGTGAGCTCATTCCACCAGGTGGGGGCCAGGAGCGAAAAGGCCCTGGCGCTGGTCAAGGCTAACTGGACGTCCCTGGGGCCAGGGACCACCAAGAGATGTTGATTTGTGGACCTCAGTGCCCTCCGGGGCTCATATGGGGAGAGGAGGTATCAAAGGTATGCGGGCTCCTGGCCGTATAGGGCTTTAAAGGTAAGCACCAGCACCTTGAAACAGATTCGGAATTCAATAGGCAGCCAGTGAAAGGAAAAGTAGAAAGGGCCAAAATCATTGGGCAAGCTTGGAAACTATTTAAAACTACGATCCTAGAAGCTCAAAAAAAATATATTCCGCAGGTTAGGAAAGGCACAAACAGGTATAGGAAAAAGCCTGCATGGTTAACAAAGTAATGGAAGCTGTAGAAAGTAAAAAGGACTCCTTTAAACCGTGGAAAGCTAGTCACAGTGAGGCTGATAAAACGGAACACAGGCTATGGCAAATAAAATGTAAGTCTGTGGTCAGGCAGGCAAAAAGGGAATATGAGGAGCATATAGCAAAAAATGTAAAAACCAACCATAAAACTTTCTTCAAATACATTAGAAGCAGGAAACCAGCCAGGGAGGCATTGGGGTCCTTGGATGACCAAGGGGTAAAAGGAGTAGTGAAGGATGATAGGGAAATGGTTTTATTACAATAAGCCACTATTTAATAAACCACTGTTATGAAATCCCCCTTATACCTTATCATTGGAACTCAGAAGTAACCTTGGATATACAGTGTTAAACTAAATCCCAGCCCAATTTTACATGGATTAGTTTTCTGCTGGGGCTAAACACTGTATTTTCAATGGTTTGAACCAGTCCTATTGAAAGGAATTACAAAACAAAAGGCCAAATAAACCCCAGATCCAGAACCAAGTAAAACATAAAATACCACTGTAAAATAAACCAAATAGAGTGGTTTAGGAATACTCCATCTTTAACCATATTCAACAAACTGAACATCTATATTCCATTTCAAATCTCAGCAGGGCCACAATCCTGACAGGATTAAGGCCAGTCACTTATCTCTTAAACCTCACCCTGTCTCCATTTCCATTAAAAGAATAAAATGCTGACATGCCTTAAAAGGTGGCTGTAAAGGATTGTAGAAATAATGCATGTGAAGCACTTTAAACAGTCTGCAGTGCTGTATCTACTGAGGATTAGAACTCCCTATTAATGACTGAGCTAAATATGCTGACATTCTAAAACCAGCCACAATGGAAGCAGGCCGAGTGCTTTGTTTTAAAATAAGAGTTGTCAAGACTCAAGCCAATAGCCTGGAAGCTGCATCTCACAGTCATTTAGCAGAAGTTCAGAAGTATCTGGTTGTTGTTTTTTTTAATCATCAGTACTCCTGATCCAGAGGAGAGCCCAGACTCAAATTAAGCACTGACCAAAAAGGAGATTTAAAAAAAAAACAGTGAATTGAAAGAAAATGCAGGATATCACGATGTGGTGCTTTGTCCTGTGTACCCTGTTGTTTGGGGGGGGGGGGGGAAACAAACATTAGATTAATTTGGATACACGCAGTTACATAGTGTTTTTTAGGAATTTCATAAGGACAAAAGTGCATGGTGTTCTTCCTGCTATTTATCTGAAAACACATTGGCCAGTAAGGAGCAATGAATCACTTCCACTAAGGTCCCAGCTCGCCTTACTTACTTTGCTAATGAATGGGAACAGCAGATAACTAAAACTATTAAATTCAATTATGCGTCCTACAGATTATACTTCTCAAAGTAATCACAGATGCACTGCACACCAATTGTGTTAAGTTTCCTTCTGGACATGTTCATCATAGCCACCAGCAAGACACAGCAGGAATGCAGGAATATAGATG